GTTCTATCAAACTATGAAACTCTCTCTCTGACCTGCTGGGCCAGGGCTGTGCATATTGTGTTTTAACAATTCTCTGTAGTGATTCTTGTTATGGTGAAGTTTTGTAGCTACCACTCCACAGCAGTCGGTAGAAGCTGATTAGAATGACTTGTGTAGATTGCCAGGTTGCTACCATCCTCCCAAATCTCCGTTGTATTACCTCTGTGCAATGTACTATTGCACACGCTAAGGTCCGGCACGTATTGAAGACTGCAACCCTTCTCTAGCCTACACTGTCTCTGGGAATTAATGATTGATCTTGCATCTGAGGCTGCTCCAGGAGTTAACTGATAGAGAAGAACCCCTCAATAGTAGGGAAGCTCAAGAGAGCCTGGAACAAATCTTGGACAGCTAAAGGCTCTGCCATACCATTGGAAAAATTCAGAGGGCAAGAGTATATATAGTGTTGCTGCTAAAAACAGAACAAGTGAGGCGTGACAGCCATACTTGAGAGGTCTTAAGTTCAAGGTCTGTGTTGGATAGAAGGTGCTAGAGCCAAGAGGAAAGTAATCATGACTAATGGAGACTCTTCTGAAAAAGGTTTTCAAGGAGGACCTAGTCATAGTGAGAATTAGGGGGCAGTCTAAAAACTACGGGACCACTATAGTATGTTCTGTGAGGGTATCTTGCCCAGGATTTTATCTTGATTCCATTCCCTTAGATGATGAGGTGGCCACATTTATCATAGAGCTTATTTTTTCGCTTTGTTCCTTGTTTTCATTTACTTTGCAGATACCTCCAACCTTGCAGTTGTGTAGTCATGAGTAGAGGTCTGTTGGGAGTCAACATACAAGAGTGAAGAGAGGCAGCATGACATTTGCCACTTCCCCCGAAGCTATAGGAAGTGGGGTGAGGTCCTGGAGTTCCAAGTGAGAGCAAACACAGTATATCCCCTGGTCTTCCGGGAAGTGGGGGGTTTAGAGAACTGTGTGACTCATATGGTCTCTTTGTCAGACACAGTAAAGGGGGAACCCTTGGGAAGAAGCTGATTGTTAGAGCACAGGACAGATGGTAAGTCATGCTGTGTGAAGAAGGTGTGATTATTATCTGTAAGAGAGCAGGGATCCTTAGACCAACCACAGAGAGAGAAGTTGGAGAACAGGTTCCTTTGCATGTTTGTTTCTCAAAGGATTCACCCTTCCTTCCTCCCTCCTCCTCCCTCCCTCCCTCCCTCCCTCTCTTTCTTTTCTTCTTTCTCAAGACAAGGTCTTACTATGCATCCCTAGGCAGCCTAAAGCTCTCTAAGAAAACCAGGCTAGCTTTGAACTCCCAGAGATCTGCTTGCCTTTGCCTCTTGAGTACTTGGATTAAAGGCATGCACCACCATACCTGGCAGGATTCACCTTTGTTAAGGAATAAAATTAAAAATTCAGTTTCAGAATCTGGAGAGATTGGTGGTTAAGAGTAGAACCTTTGCAGAAGACCTGAGTTCAATTCCCAGCATCCACACAGGTGGCTCACAACAGCCTGTAACTCCAGCTTGAGGGGGATCTGACACCTCTGACCTCCTGAGTACCTGCACTCATGTGTTCATAGCGCTCCCCCCTCCCCCGCAACAGACACCTAATTAGACATAACAAAAATAAGTCTTAAAAAACTTCAGTTCTAACCAGGCACAGGTCCTTTAGTCCTAGTACTCCTGATGCTGAGACAGGAGAATTGTGAGTTTGAGGCCAACTTGGGAATTCAGGGTCAACTTGGGCCACAGAGTGTGACCTTGTCTCAAACAAAATTTAACATGTACAGCTTTGGAACTACGTGGCATGCTAGTGTTGCACCTGAGCTGCCACCGTCAGAGCTCTGTTTCTCCAGCAGCCCATTGTAGGACAGTCCCCTTCTGCCTTCACGCTCTCTGGCTGCCTGCTTTATTCTTTTGCCCTCAGCTTCATCTGATTTAAGGCACTGCATGTTCACAACTTAATGGTGAGGTAGCTGATAATTTCTTCTAGAATGCTATGTCTCAGAGGAAATGGCTTTGTTCACTGCTGCAGTCCTAACATTGGGATCGTGTCTGGCAAAGGGAAGACAAATGCACATTGAACCCAAGGAATACACACTACACAAATGCATGCTGGATGAATGCATGAGGGAGTCTATTTATATGCACGGTCTTCTGTTGACATTCAGCTCAGAACCGCAGCTCACACTCTCCTGAGCCTACATAAGAAGCTGCCTCCACAGGTGCAGAGCCCTACGCAAGGCATCACATACATTGGTTTCAGATATTAAATAAAAGCTGTGATGTCCTGAGAAACTACCGACAAGTAGAAGCGTAGAAAATGCATTTTAGAAGTAAAATGGTGTTTGCAAATTTTAAATTTCTGGCTGAGCAATTTCAGCTGGGAAAAATAATTCTAGAGAAATTTGTAGCCAGAGAATGTAAAATACACTCCATAGCTTTATTAATTATGCCAGGAACTTCAAGTAGCTGCTGGGGAATAAAATCTTTTAAAATGTCATCCTGATGGGGATTATGACAGGGCATAGAAATCAAAATCTCTGTGGAAAATTAGTGGGTAAGAACCACAGAGAAGAAGAAATTGGACATATTTTAAACATAACTGCACAAAGATTTAATGCAGATTTAAAATATGCAGATTGGCATGCAATATGAGTAGGTCTACATTCAGTCTTAGTAAAAGCCATTCTATAAGTGACATTTTTTAAATGTTTTAATTTGAAATTTAATGAACTTCATGATTGGTCATTTTTGAAAGGGTGTACAGTTGTATTTGGTGAGTATAATTTTTACGACATTTTGCAAATGTTTAGGATTTGTTTACCTATATTTATCCATAATCCAACAAGAAATAAAGTCACAAAGGCAGGGCAATCATACTATAGATGTGCGCAGAGTTCCACTGCACTGAACTCACTCCAAGTATATAATCTATCCTCTGTTTTTTGTTGTTGGTTTTTTTTTTTTTTTTTTGTTTTTCCTGTACAACGTTTAGAGTGTGGCCGGGGTCCCCTGCCCCTAACCTCCCTCAAGTATTAAATTTTTCCTCTGTTTTTTTTTTTTGGTTTTTTTTTTTTTTTTTTTGGTCTTTTTGAGACAGGGGCTCTCTGTAGCCCCAGCTGTCCTGGAGATCCGCCTGCCTCTGCTGGGATTAAAGGCATGTGCCACCATGCCCGGCTTAATCTGTCCTCTGTTTTTACAGAGAGAAAACATACTAGGTCTTAACACAACTTGAAATGAGTGGTTTCAAACACCTTAGAGTACTAAAACTGGTTGGCATTTTATTCATTCTGTTGTTAAGAACTGAAGTTGATGTTACATAAATGTTTAGAGATAAACTGCCAAAAATCACTAAATACTGCAAGAGAGGTTAATAACATCTGTGTAAGTCATACAGTTGTCACAGCACCAAAGATCAGACAATTGTAGATTGCAAGGCCCTGACAGAGTACCTGTTAAGGTTCGGATAGCCCTACTCCCTCACCAACAGGATCCCAAGGACTTCTCATGCTCCTGAGAAAAGGGAACCTAGCTGATAAGCACCTTGGTCTTTGAAGTCAAGGAAGCAGACTTTTCTCCACTGTTTGGCCAACACAGCAGGCTTCCCCTTTGATCTCTGAAGAGGACAGGTTTTAACAGTCCTGCTCTCCCACTCCCCCCCAACTTTAAAAAAAATACATCTTCCCACCTTCTGCAGGAAGCAGAAGCCTCCCTTTTAAAAGACCATAGCTCAAGACCTGGGCAGACATTTTCCCTGCCTGGAAGGGAATCTGTCCCATGTGTTCCTTTGCTAATAAACCCTATTTTGATGGAGTTGTAGCTGTGCCTCGGTGCCTCATCATCCATTCACTCGTTCTCCACCAACTTTTTACCTATCAGTACCCAGACCAGGATTGGTCCTGTAGTTCTGATCTGGGACATGAGTCGCTGTATAAGGGCACATGAACCATATGTAGACCCCAAAGTATTACATTCATATTCTTAACTCTTGGAGGAGATTGTTTGAAAGACTTTGTTCATTATTAGCATTTCATAGTATATAATGTAAACATGGGGGGACGGGGGGGGTGGGGGGGTCGAGGAACTTCTTTAAAATGTGTTCACTTTGGCTTTTTAAAGTTGCAAATGGCCATTTCTAGAGGAAGCATCCCACCTTAGTGAGAAGCCTTAGAGGCGCAGAGCTTCTTGTTTGCCATACTGTGCATGCATTCTGGTTATTTCTGTAATATATAAAAGGTCCATTTTTTTTTTTTAGAAGGATAGCTATTCCTTTGGGGAAAGCCATTTTTAAATAATCTTTCTAGTCCATAGCTGAATAAATATTTATTATTTAAAATTTTACTTGGGGCTAGAGAGATGACTCAGTGATTAAGAGCACTGGCAGTTCTTGTTAAGACACAGGTTCACTTCCCAGCCGCTAAAAGCCATTTGCAACTCCAGTTCCAGGGGATTTGACATCTTCTGGCCTTAACAGGCAGGTACCGCATGCATGGGTGCACTTACGTACATGCAGGCAAAACATTCATATGCATAAAATGAAAATAAGTAAATAAATAAAATTTACTTGTTCTTTCACATACTAATTAAATAACTATGGATAGTGGTGGTTTACGTGCTGTGCAGGGGGAAAGAGCTTAAAAATGTGTTGAGGTTGACTGCCCTCAGGGGAAGAGCTAAGACTTGGATATGGGGTTAGAAAAAATGGATGTCAGGATCAAAGTGAAGACAGGATGACTTGGGAGATGTTTAGGTGAAATGAAATGTGGTTTTATCTACATTTTTTATTCTTTTTTGCAAAAGAATTTTACCTAATACATTATTCCTAATGAAAGAAGTATCTCTATTATTGAAAGCAGATGCTATTATTTAGAAGTATGTTAAATGCATGTATACTTGGCGCTGATGGGATTTTAGCCAAAGCAAAGTAATAAACAAATTCGAAATCTTCAGTAGGTGTTAATATAATATCACAGGAAGCTTTCCATAGCTGCATCCACCATACCTTGGCCACTTCCTCTTGGAAAGCCACAAGATTCAAATGAGAAATGTTCACCAGGTCAGGCCCATATACCACTGTTATCATGCGATGTTCCAGGTGCCCGATGTTCCCCACATCCAGAAGTTCACGTAATTTGGGGTCCTGGATAATAAATGTTAAAGAAAAAAAAAAAAAAAAAGAAGTCTGTAAGGGAAAAAAAAACCAACATAGTAGAAAAACTTTAAAAGAACCAGAAGCAGAATTGTCCGTTCTTAATAGACATTGGTATGAACTGAAGTATTCCACTCCACAAAAAAAAAACCAACATAGTAGAAAAACTTTAAAAGAACCAGAAGCAGAATTGTCCGTTCTTAATAGACATTGGTATGAACTGAAGTATTCCACTCCACAGTGATCGAGGAGGATGAGTAACTTGCCCAACAGTTGTGAAGAGGAAAATTCTGGTTCAAGACCTTCAGTATGGCCTTCAGTAAAGTGCTCTTTCGGTCACTGTGGTTCTGCAACACATTTTTATATTCTATAATCATCTGATGAGTTGCATATTGAAATGAAAAATCTCCTATCTGCCTTCGATTCATGGATATGTTATTTCGTTCAGAATAAAAATATTTATGCTTACAGTTTAAATAGTTAACTATCCCCCAGAGGCCCAGCTGTTAACATCTTACTTCCAGCTTGGTGCTGTTGGGAGATGGTGGAAAGCCAGGGGTGAGGGATACTTAGTTGGAGTCTTCTTATCATTGAGGGTATCTGCTCAAAGGGGATCATGGGTCCTGGGCCTCTCCTCTTCCATGGGGTGGATGCATTTGCTCTCTCTCACATTCCTGTGAGATGTGCTGCCCCACCTTTTACCCAGCAGATGTCTAAAAGCAATAGGCCTGCCCAGTCACGGACTGAAATACCTAAAACATGAGCCAAAATAAGCCTTTTCTCCATATAAGTTGATTATCTCCAGTATGTTACAGTGACAGGAAGATACCTAGGGCAGAAATACAGTCAAGCCTCTTGCTGTGGATCTTCTCTAGCACTGAGCGCAGATGTAAAGAGAAAAGGCCAGCTTAAGCACGAGGCAGCATGTGTTATGAATATCCTATCTTAAATTCCACACTGAGTCTTTGGGATTTGCATGTAGGGGACGTCTGCCATCTTTTCTGAGCAAGTTGCATTCTTTGGAACATCATAAGTGACAATCCCTTGGAGATACAGGTTTTGTACTGGGAAAGGAAAGTTTTCAAACTTGCAGAACTCAAAATAAAACCTAAAATAGGGCTTAGTCAACTTGGCTGGGTTTATTTTCCTCCCGCAGGACAGACCCTGAAGGACTTCTCAGTCCATGCAGAAAATTAGCATCAAATCAATCACTTAGCAAATTTGCTTCCAGCTTCTGAACAAGGAACGAGTTTGCATTTCCATTTATTTAGTGAAATGCTGGGCCAACAGGACCTGATTACAGAGGCTGGTTATTCTGGCCTCCCTTCTGAGGGTTTTATTAAGCACCATCCTTATAAAGAAAGAATGAATAATAATAATAATAATAACGAACAGAAACAAATGAAACCTTTCCTGCTGAGTTACTTTGGCACCATTAATTCTCTCTCCAGTTAATACAACTTTCTCCTCTGTTTGACTGTAGGAAGGGGAACATTTTTAGGTAAGTTAGGAAAAAGGAATTTCATTTTCAAGCTTTGCCCAGTACAACTGAAGCTTTAACTTCACTGATACAACAAGAGCTTATCAAGTCAAGGAAAGCCTCCTGGAAAGAGAGTCTATGTCCAAAACATCATTTCCAAGACCCACAAAAGGAAAGGTATAGAGTAAAAGAATTAATCAAATGACAACAGCATAAAGGAAAATTTTCAGCATGGTAATCAGAAGATTAAAGGAGAATACTTCAGTTAATTAAACAATGACAACAGCTATTCTCTGAAATGATTAATTGCACATGGTTTTCAAACACCACTGAGGCAAATGTAGAGAGAATGTTTGATCAGTACTTGTATACTCAGAAGAGAAAAACGATTCTCCATAGCCACCTGACACTCACATACTTCTCACCAGCCAAGATACTTTTTTTCCTATATTAAACAGTTCTTGGTTAAAGTGGTCCATGTCTCAGGATTGTAGGGATGAGGTGTGGGGGTCAGAAGTTCTTTTGAGTTATCACTGAAATAAAAGACTAGAGGTACACAGAGACCCTTCAAAGGAGGTACCCAGAACAGAAAAGAGCTCTAAAAGACTTCTGGGATTCTAACAGTTATGAACAACATTGCTGTTGGACATAGTCAGCAAGAATTTATAAGCAAACCGGCATCTCTCTACGTTCTTTTTACTAATGGCTATTTATAGACACTTAAACATTCTTGATGTAATGAGAACTGGTGTCTGGGATTGGTTGACCCACAGGTTGTTAAAATGGAAGCACTATGAGACCAAGTGTGGGGACGTCCCTGTATCTGGGATTGTTCACATTTCTAGCATAAATTTTTTAAGGTCTATTGAGCATAAAGTAGAAGAACAGTTAGATTTAGAATTATTTTATCAAGAGAAAGACTAGTATTTAAAAATCATGTAGTTCTGGATATAAACTGAGAAATAATATAAAAAAAATAACAAGAAAGTTGCTTGCCAATGTTCATTTTTTAGTCTGGAGTATACTACTTTAAATTATATTTAACTTTCTCTTTCACCATTGATCATCTTACTTATCTTAAATTTACACATGTTAATCGATTTCAACCACAAATTTAGTTATGCTAGAATTAAGAATTAAGTTTGTGTGTATATGTATGGCTGATAAAATTACTGTCATGAAAAATAGCAGTGAAGTAATATTAGCTGCTATTTTTCTTTTTTCTCACTAAAATTATAAGTGCTTTTAGGAGTTAAGAGGAAGGTCTGGCATGGTGGGGCATGCCTTTGACCTCAGTACTCCATTTGGGAGGCAGAGGCAGGTGGATCTCTGTGAATTCAAGGCCAGCCCATTCTACCCAGTGAGTTCCAGGCCAGCTGGGGCTACAGGGAGACTCTCTCTCAAAAAGACCAAAAAGGTAAAAAAAAAAAAAAAAAAAAGAAAAAGAAAAACTAAATGGGTAATTTGTGAGTCTCTAAACCAAAATGTATGTTTGCTGAAGGCACTAAATGTGGATTTCAAAACTGAATATTATTTGATTTTCAGATTTGCTTTTTAATTTTATTTGCATCTCCTTTATTATTCTGGATATTCAAGGTAGTTACAACCCCTAATACATAAAGATCCATATTGCATTGTCCTCTGGGATATAAAACACTTCACAGTTGACAGTCTGGAGGAGACACTGTGTCTGTTTTCATATGGAGTAAGTAGTGGCCTCTAAATAAGCCCTGGCTTAAATACACCTTTTTATGTGTGTGTTACTGTTTGAAAGTAAGAACCTGTCTTCAAAATCCCTCATACCCATTAATCAAAACATATTATGCATGAAGACCAGAGTTGTCATCTATCAGACCTCCAATTTCAATGAGAAAAAAATCATCTGGAGAGTAGTTCTGATTGGGTCTATTCAGCGGGCCAGGAAAGTTAATGATGCCTCCTGCTGTAAGCTATGGCCAGCATCCACAGCACAGGTCTGCAGAGGATATGAAGGGAGTTAAGGAGCATAAAGCGCTATTAAATTTACCAAAAGAACGATCTGAAACAATGCTCACCCCCAGGAACTTACTGATCAGGTCCTTACATTTTACTTGTTTTTCTGCATTGATGAGTCATTTGTTCTTTTGTTCTCAGATTTCCACTTGTTTACACATCTTTTCCTTCCTTTCCTCCCTTCTCAGAAACTTTTCTCTCCCTTACTAAAATTTTTGCCGGGAGACTGCTTAAATCTGTTGCAAAGCTAGAAGTCAAATGTTTCACATTTTCCTGAGGTGACACATTCAATGTGTGGCACATTTAGATATGAAACCTGCTACCCAGTTTCATATAAAAATCTCAAATCATTCTATAGTCAAAGACTGTAATTATTTCACTTCTCACCTCTTTTTAAAAAATATTTTATTGCCAGGCATGGTGGCTCACGCCTTTAATCCCAGCACTCGGGAGGCAGAGGCAGGCGGATCTCTGTGAGTTCAAGGCCAGCCTGGTATACATAGCAAATCCAGGCCGGCTGGGGCTACAGGGAGACCCTGTCTCAAAAAGACCAAAAAAAAAAAAAAAAAAAAATTATTATTTTTATATTTTTAGTGTGTATGAGTATATTCCCTGGCCATGTTGTGCAATGCCTGTTGAGGTCCGAAGAGGACAACAGATTCCCTTGGACCATGTGGGTGTTGGGAATTGAACCCCGGTCCTCTATGAAAACAGACAGTGCTCTTAACCGCTGAACAATCCATCTCTCCAGCCACAACCACTTATGACTTCCTTTATTGAATTATCCAAATGTCTGGTATATGGTTAAATTATTACAAACCCTATCTTAGATGCCCCCAGAAATAGCCATATGTGATGTGGACAGGAGAATACACATTCTCCTTTTGGCATTAACGACTCCCATTCAATACCTTTCTATGAAGCGTAGTTTAGGATGAAAACAGTTTACAAGCGAAAGACTGGCTCACAGTTTGACTTCAGTCTGATGACTTTGTAATATTGCTGGGTAATTTCAAAAATTAAGTACAAAAACTGCTGAAATTACATTGGTCCTCCCTTGGTATGGTGGCAACTGTTTAACAGTAGACTTTCAGAAATTAAAATACGAAACATTCAAAGCACAAAATTCAAACAAACCAGTAGCTAAAAGCTCCCCTGACCCTAAATTCTACATTTATTGATGCCCATGAGATGAACAGCTAATTTTGAGCTACCCAAATGACACTCCTGAATTTGGGGGTTGAAAAGAGATTACTAGTAGCACATATGGCATTTTACTTAACTATACAACTATAAGAAGTATAATGAGCCTCCAGATCACAGATAGGTAGAATATTTAATACTATAATTAGGAAGTGATGAGTTTTGAGTATTTGTTAGATGTGTTTAAATCTAATTTATCTGGTTGCAAGGTTGTGTTTGTATTACAAGTTAATTTGTAATAATGTCTGGATTTAACAATAAGGAGGAAATTTAGCGAACTAATGATGTCTCTGAAGGCTCTTATGAACTAGTACAA